AGCCGCTTGCAGCCATTTCCCCCAAGTGCATTTCTGCCCATCAGGGGCTCATGGTCAGGGGTCATTTCATAGAAAAAGAGGTGCAGGAGCTCATTAGCACAACTCATTAGCATAACTCATTTGCATAGGCCACACCCCCTGACATCACTGACAGTGTGGCTCACACAGCTCCTACACACTGATTCTTTTACATGGACAAGTCAGTCTAGACAGTGTGTCAGAAGGCAACACCCACCGCTCAGGCTCCACTGGACTGTTTTGGATTGCTAGCTATTGGGGGGTGGAGGGAACGTGCAGATCTGTCCTCGCAGAGGAGGGAGAGCTTGTACCTGAATAAAACTTGGTCTTAAAAGGGCCAGTGGACTGTTTTGGATTGCTAGCTATGGGGGGGGGGGAACGTGCAGATCTGTCCCCACAGAGTAGTGAGAGCTTGTACCTGAATAAAACTTGGTCTTAAAGGTGCCACTGGACTGTTTTGGATTGCTAGCTATTTGGGGGGAGGGGAACGTGCAGATCTGCCCTCACAGAGGAGGGAGAGCTTGTACCTGAATAAAACTTGGTCTTAAAGGTGCCACTGGACTGTTTTGGATTGCTAGCTATTTGGGGGGAGGGGAACATGTAGATCTGCCCTTGCAGAGGAGGGAGAGCTCGTACCTGAAGGCGGTCCGGGGGGAGGGCTCTGCGGCTTACCTGGCTGCTTCTTGCTCTGACTGAGGGCTGCTGGGAGCAGGGGGCGGGGCTTGTTGCATGTTATTGTTGTTATTATCATAAATAAATCAATTCCACGGATCCTTTTATTTATTTTTTTATTTTATTTTATTTGGGCCCTGCCGTCCCCGCCGAAGGAGACTCCATTGATTGATTGATTGATTGATTATTTATTTCGAGGTGTTTTTTTTTCATTCCGCCCTCCCCCAAGTGCTCAGGGCGGATCACAAAAGAACCAAGTTCAAGACTCGTTGCAGTAAAACCCCATTAAAATCATTAAAACAATGAGCGGTAAAATCGCACAGGTAGCGGCAGTTTTCATCTAAATCCGTTAGGGCCACAAGGTGGAATCAGATGGGCCCTTTTCAGCGGGTTGGGAACCAGAGCAGGGAGGCCGACGGAGACGGACGCCCGCCACCTCACCACAAGGCCGGGCGGCGCGAGCCAGGTGTGCAGGAAGGGCAGGAGGTCCCGCGCGGTCCCCGATCTCCAGTGGGAGCTGATTCCACGAGAAAAGGCCCTGGCCGAGGCTAAGCGGACGTCCTTTGGGCCGGGGGTAACCAGTAAGTGTCGATCCTGTGAGCGCAAGGCTCTTCGGGGCGCGTGTGGGAAGAGGCGGTCCTTTAGATATGTCCGTCCCGGGCCGCGTGAGGCTAATCCTTTTTGAAGAAGTATTGTGTAGTGGGTTTGCCGCATGGACGAAAGACAAAGACTGGCATAGTGCAAAGCACGCTTTATTAGCACACAACAAGACTATCCCTAACGGCCGGCAGGCCAACTATATACACTCCAGGGACACACCCCTGGACCTTGTTGGTGGGTTTGAATCTCCCGCCACGGTGCCCATTGGTTCCCCAGGGGAGGGACTAGGAGCCTAGTCCCTATTGTTCTCCCAGAGTCAAGCTCTGGCTGTTCGCTGGCCCCTGGTGGTGGTCAGCATACACAACAAGAAGCCACCTAGGCCAGATCTTAATGGACCCTTCGGCTGTCATTGAGCCTCCTCAACCTGCCGTCCCATCTAGAGAAAGAGATCAGCTCCCCAGCCAGTGTTCCCTCTAAGCTGAGTTAGTGTGAGCCCGCTCACCGTTTTTTAGCCTCCGGCTCACACATTTTTGTCTTGGCTCAGGAAGGATGGGGCCCCAGAGCAGACTAATTTATGCAGTAGTCAAATGGCTCGCTCACAACTTTCATGCCAGTAGCTCACAAAGTAGAATGTTTGCTCACAAGACTCCACAGCTTAGAGGGAACAATGCTCCCCACCCACCCACCTACCCATCCCCAGGGTCTGAATCCCACTTTCTAATCTTGAGCGTATTAGAATGGCTCCGCTTTGGGACCTGACCCTGGAGCTTCCATCTCACCGCTCCTGTCCCTCCTCGGCGGCAGTGAGTGCTGATGGAGTGTGCACGGGGACCGCTCATCTTCTGCCATTCAGAAGAAGCGACATCTGCGACAGCCCCTTTGCAAAGTTGCACGGGAGCGAGTGGATCTTGAGTGTATCAGAATGCCTCCGCTTTGGGACTTGACCCTGGAGCTTCCATCTCACCGTTCCCGTCCCTTCTCGGCGGCGGCAAGTGCTGATGGAGTGTCTTACGAGGCACGGGGACCGCTCAGCCTCTGCCGTTCAGAAGAAGCGACATCTGCGACAGCCGCCCTGGAAAACCCATGTTGGGTTAAGCGGAGGAGGCGACTGTTTGAGAAACGCGGCGTCGATTCTGCACCGAACCTTTGCAAAGTTGCACGGGAGCGAGTGGGCCTGCCCTGTTCCCCTTCCCCGTCTCTGCCCCCGCAAAGCAGGACGTGTGTTCTCCGTCCCCAGGCAGCCTTTGCCTCCCCGCACACACTGGATTGCGGCGTTGTCCCACGGTGGCTTCCCTGCCCACGTCAGCCGGGGCTTATGCAAAATATGCATTTACGTTCCTCGTTAAAATGTGAAAGAACAGGGTGTCTGAAAATGCGTGACTCGGCACCTGTTGACGTGGCGTATTTTTAATTTTTCTTTAATTGTGCACATTAAAACTTGGAGGCACAAATCAGGTCTTTTCTCTCCATATAGAGAAGGAGGCTGCGGTGACGGGCACGGGGGAGGGGAGGAGAGGATCAGCAGAGTCCTATGCAGAGTTAACGCCCTGCGAGGCCCATTGAACTCCATGGGCTTAGAAGGGTTTAACTGTGTTTAGGATTGCATGGAATGAGTTATGCGATGCGTCTGGCATCCAGAGCGTTGCCTATGATTTGCCCTGTTGCCCTCTTCACAACAGTCCTATAAAGTAAAAAGGTAAAGGTTCCCTTGCTCAAAAGCCAGTCGAATCCGACTCTAGGGTTGCGGTGCTCATCTCCGTTTCAAAGCCGAAGAGCCAGCGCTGTCCGAAGACGTTTCCGTGGTCATGTGGCCGGCATGACTAAACACCAAGGCACACTGAACGCTGTTACCTTCCTACCGAAGTGGTACCTATTTATCTACTTGCAATGTCTTGCTTTCGAACTGCTAGGTTGGCAGGAGCTGGAACTAGAGACCCCGTCTTGCGGCACACTCGGGTCTCGAACTGCTGAACTACTGACCTTCCACAGCCTGCAGTTCAGCGTCTTAACCACTTCGGTTATATAAGGTAGGTTTAGTGAGAGCCAGTTTGGTGTAGTGGTTAGGAGTGCAGACTCTAATCTGGGAGAACCGGGTTTGACTTCCCCACTCCTCCGCATACAGCCAGCCAGGTGACCTTGGGTCAGTCACAAGTTCTTTCAGAGCTGTTCTCCCAAGAGCAGTCCTCGAAAGAGCTCTCTCAGCCCCACCTACCTCCCAGGGTGTCTGTTGTGGGGAGGAGAAGGGGAAGGAGTTTGTAAGCCCCTCTGAGACTCTAGTTGAAGGGCGGGGTATAAATCCAATCTCTTCTTCTCCTCTTCATCTTCTTATCCCTACTCCCGATATGGGAGCAAGCTCCACTGAATAGAACCGGGTTTGATTCCCCACTCCTCCACTTGCACCTGCTGATGTGACCTTGGGTCAGTCACAAGCTCTGGCACAGCTGTCCTCGAAAAAGCGCAGTTTCTGTCAGAGCTCTCTCAGCCCCACCCACCTCACAGGGTGTCTGTTGTGGGGAGGGGAAGGGAAAGGAGTTTGTAAGCCGCTCTGAGACTCCAAGTGAAGAGCAAGGGGTATAAATCCAATCTCCTCCTCCTCCTCCTCCTCTTCTTCTTCCTTCATTTAATGCAAGTATCCTGTCAGGGCAGCGACCAGACCCAGAAATACTTATCTTTCTAGCAAGGTTGCTGTATCATGTA